CGAATCCGGGGCCCTCAAGATTACGAGTCGAGCCCCTAACCACCTGGCCATGCCGGGCCTATAGTAGCTTAAACATCTGTCTTTCATTTTCAACTGCCATACTGGCACTTCGTTATTGTGGTCGAAAGTAATCCAAACATGGTTTCTAATTACAGCCGAGATGCATTTCTAGGTTTTTACTAGGTATGACGGAAAAGGCTTGGCGATGTTCCGATTGTCACTGTGACTGAGAAAAACACTGTTATGATCTTTCAACAATGCTGTTAACATTAGTAGCTCACATTTTCACAATTGTGTGTCTTGTTCAATGTTTGGTGTGTGACTAGCTTTGAACTGTTGAATAACACGTACGGTTGAAACTAGTCTTAAGCTTAATTCAGCAGTCGTGATATGTGTTTATATAACAAAGAGTTTGGGAGTTATAAAAGATATTGATTATTATCTTACCTTGTTTATAAACATTTGCGTTAGAACAATTAGAAGACTTTAGAGAACGTTCGAAAGAACATTCAGACTTTGTTAAACCAGTTTAAATGTAGTATGTCACGAAACCTCGAGAATTTGTATGGAATCTCGCGGTGGGACAGCGGTAAGTGTGCGGATTTACGACGCTGAAATCCGGCGTTCGATTTCCCGCGGTGGACACTGTAAGTAGTCAAACAAATTGGCTTTGCTCTAAAACAAAAAAGAATGAGTAGAGAGCTTTACGAGGTCGAGTGAATTTGCTATTTTGATTTTAGTAGATTTTGATAGATATGAATGAAATGTTGTAAACTTATAAGTACAAAAGAAGAGAAATTATATATTCACTGAACAATCTTAGGAAGTTTAAGTAATTTTCTCTGACGTAAGGTTATTGTATTAATACAGGAGTAGCTTATTGAAGAGGGTCGTCACAACACTTCTGTAAACTTTCTACAACGAATACTCCAGCCTCTGAGTATGTTCGACAATGCTGCAGAAACACGTTACAGTGTTATTTTGAAAGTTGATCATTTAATATTTTAAGTTATATACTTAATTGCCAGACAGTGTTCTGTAGAACATTCTCGTGGGTCGTTACCGAAGTTTAAAGGAAGTCAACATAACTTGTATACAGGAGCGAGTTCCACCGGGGGGTGTCGTGGGGTGCAGTGCAAAGCTCTGTCCCCCTCAGCACCCCCATAAGAAATAGAGTTTTTTAAGATTTTTAAATTCTCTATACTGTAATTACCACTGATAGGAAAATATTAATTTTTTGCCCCTTCTTATGAACTTCAAATAAAAAAATCCTAGAAGCGCCGCTGGTTGTTAGAAAATTGCATCTTGTTCTTGTGAGCATTTTTAGTTCTGATTATTATTGTAGTTAAATAACAGATGACATTAACGTTGAACAACTGTTTAATATTTTTTTTTCTTGAACAATCGTTAGTTCAAGTTAGAATAAAGAAACATTTTACTTAAGCCAAACTGATTTTGTAATATTTTTACTTCATCTTCCTTTTGTTAAATGGATAACCAGAAGAAAAAAAAACATTTCTGATACCTATTTTTCGTGATTTTCAATACTGAATGACGTATAATACTCAATGTCTATTGAAAACCCCAAAATATGTGGTTATTTGTTTTACAATTCGTATAATATTTGAGTCTTCTCGGGCTATTATAGTTTTCGATATCGAGCACTGGTGTTTGAAACCATTTCCGTGTGTATTACCTGGGAAACTTTTCAAGCCAACACTCCGGACGAATAAGAACATTTCTAGACTTGCAGTTGTTTCTGTTTTTAAATAACTTTAAACGTTAATAATAGGTAACAGAGTTTATGTTTTTAAATAACTTTAAACGTTAATAATAGGTAATAATAGGTAACAGAGTTTATGTTTTTAGCTTTATTTGTAATCAGTAACAAACCTGACGTTATCAATAATGACTCTCAGTTACAAAACTAAAGTTTTAACAATGACATTAATTTAGTTGGTACAGCCGCTGCTATTACTCTTTTAACATAAATGGTTTAGTGGGGTACAGAGAAATGATAAATTCGATAGCACTGCGGAAAAGTTCCTTGTTTATTGTACAAATTGATGCATTCCAAGCGTGCACAAGAACCAGTCTTGGTAATTTAACACGTAATTAACAAATAATTACATGATATGCTTTTAGCATCATAAAGAAAACCAACAAAATAGTTTATTGACAAATTCTGTTCGTAAACCACTCATTCTGTATGTACTTACACAACAGTTCTTCTTCAATATTTTAAAAGAGTATCTATCTGAAAATATTCTGTAAATACACCTACATATTATATGTACTTCTGTAGTATTATGTTTGGTTTTAAGTCTCTTATTTTTTGAGCAATTCACAAACGTTTATTTCATAAAAATGTAGACAGTAGCCTTTTAAATAAATATATATATAAACCAAGTAAGTTTCTAAAACTCACATCTTTACTTGTAATTATGATATAAGACATTGACAGTGGTGTCTAAGTATTTTAATTTTCATTGTCTTAGTAACACACTAGTTTAATTAACATATTTCAGTAGTAGAGATAGGTACAGTCAAGTTAAGCAGATGACTAGGACTTTCTGTCTTAAATTAATTTTTAGCTGAATGATTTTCCAAAGCAAATATTTTTAAATTTCTCAATTTAGCTAGAACGTCATTAACAAATAATGGTGTATTTAATTTCAGTAGGTGGAAGGTGTGAAATCCTTCCTAAATATGAGTTTTCCGGAACAATATATTTACTGAAGTTACGCAGTTATTTCAAAGAATAAAGCATATAAGTATAACTAACTACATATAGAAAGAACGGCCAGCGGTGTTTCCCAAGTTTTAACACTCTTACCTCAGAAGAGAGTTAGATATGCTAAGATCTGATACAATTAATAAAGTTGTAACAAAGCCATAGAAACACGTTTAAACTGGAAAGTTGGTGAAGGGAATGAACTTATATATTTAGAGAGTGTTCACAGAAGTATGATGACTAACAATACAATACAAATAGATTATAAAAAACAATCGAAACATGTATGACTGTTTGGATCCTATTTCCACAGATATCAGTTTGTTTCTTTTGTATAACGTTCACATTAACGGGAAAACGAAAAATAAAGCAACCGGGTAAGGAGTCTGGATCAGTGTAGATATACATTTGCCGTTACGAAAAAATTTATTATACATTCCATTGTAGAAAAAAAAACTTTCTTTTTATAGTGCACCATGTGCAATTTGTCGCATTACAAAAAAATTCCTTTTTATAGTGCACCATGTGCAACCCGTCGCATTACAAACAGCAATCATTATAACACTATTTAGTTCTCATCCTTTCACAGAGTACTGATGAATAATGATCGAATTCTGTTCATTGCTGTTTGTTACTTCAGTTTGTTGACTTTGTGTTTCTTTTTAACATTTAATATCTTTTGAATTAAGAGCAACATTGTCAGGAAACTACTAGTCAACATAGCTTCACGGTACTCGAGAGTAACTAACTCGTTTAGAAATTGTTCCCCAGTCAACATAGCTTCATGGTACTCGAGGGTAACTAACTCGTTTAGTAATTGTTCTCCGGTCAACATTGCTTCATGATACTCGAGGGTAACTAACTCGTTTGGAAATTGTTCTCCAGTCAACATAGCTCCATGGTACTCGAGGGTAACTAACTCGTTTAGTAATTGTTCTCCAGTCAACATAGTTTCATGATACTCGAGAGTAACTAACTCGTTTGGAAATTGTTCTCCAGTCAACATAGCTTCATGATACTCGAGAGTAACGAACTCGTTTGGAAATTGTTCAGTGAAATATCTGTGACAAAGCAGCATCAAACACCAGTTTTAAATAGTATTGAGATTATCACAAGATCTAGCCTTTAGTTCACATCTGTGGAACAATTTACTCATCAAACCTCGAGCCTTTCCACCCACTCTTTTTGGCCTGCAAGCGTCACTAGGGTCATTATTTAATCTCATTCTCAGTCGAATCTGATTGACGATGCCCACTAGAAGTTCGTCCACGTTGTGATTTACTGCAGCTGAAGTCTCGATGAACTTCGCGTCGAGTTTTCGTGCCAAATTACGACCATCTGTTAAAAAAAAGCGTATTTCTCTCCATTACTTTGTAGAAAAATAACGAATATTAAAACATACATGTTAAAAACCTTTTCTCTATAATTTACAATTTATTGACAGGCGCGTAGAAATAATTTGAATTAAATGTGATTTTCATAGATATTCAAATTTTTTTTTTGAAAAGTGTGAAAATATATATAAAATAACTTCAAATGCAATAAATTCTAATCACTGCGTCAGTGAATACATCATCGTACTTTAGTGACGTCAGCAACTGAATATATTAAATGTTTATTCACTGTATCAACATTAAACGTCATAGAAAAGCCTTAACATTTGCTGTTAAAGTGCGTGTGATATTCATTGTTTTCAAAGTTCCTGTTCTATCTGTACTGTCAGTTGCTTCGTGAATAATGTGCATCAGTATTGAAGACATGGCCTGACATGGCCAGGTGGCTAGGGCGCTCGACTCGTAATCTGAGGGTCGCGGGTTCGAGTCCCCGTCCAGCCAAACATG